AGATACATGTCATTTGTGCTTCATTTCTCGAACCCGAATGTTTTCTTGTCTCCGTAGACCGTCTGTTAAGTTATCGTTTTTTTTATATTTTGTGATAGATGATTAAAAACTAAAAAGTGAGAATCATCTCCGTTGCCAATTCTGTTAAAAATAGAAGGTTTAGCACACCTGCATTCACATTTTGACAATGACATTTCATTGTTTACACTATGGACATCTAAGTTATGATTCACATAGCCAACATATTTAGAAGCGTCCCTAACGAAACCAGTCCACGACTGCATTGGTTCATCTTTGGGTCTTGCAACGTTTGTCCTGACTAAGCGCACCATTTGGAGTCGAGCGGCTGAACCTTGTTCAAATTACGTTTTAGTTGTTACGATGTGGGCGTGGTACTAGCATCGGCCACATGGTCGGAGTGCATGTAGATTTCAACTTTGTTAAGTAATAGACTTAACAGGAATCGGACTATTACGATATTTAATTGATATTGGTTTAAGAGCCTCCGTGGCCGAATGGTTACCACGCAGGACTCCCACTCTGAGATCCCAGGTTCGATTCCCGGGCCAGGAGAACTATTTGTATGGCCAACATTTATTTCTCTCGTGAGTTTGGGTGTAATGTGTGTGTCCATGGCACTCGCGATACACGATTTCCATAGCGCGGGACTATGAGTGTGCGCGCGCGTTACAATTACTATTATTTGGGGCACACATCATAGCCTTTTCTGCAATTACTTCTTGCGTTCTGTTAGGCATTAGATTAAGGAGGCCTTAGATCATTTGAATAGATCTCTTAGTTGATGGTGATAATAGAATTATATTATGTACAATTTGCCGTCACTAGACGAATGTGTGTAACTAAATTAATATTAATAATAAGGGTTGCAATCCCTACAAATGCATAAATTTTAATATAATAACACAAAGTAAATCACAATTCACATTACGCGGGTAACACTTTTACGATTACCTACATGTTAGTTTGATCATAAAGTCATTTCCATAAAAGACACAAAGAAATAAGAAAAGTAATCACAAAAGTTGATGACACTTTTGGCCATTTTTGAGACATTAATACGTTTAGAACAATGTTTAATAAAATGGCATTTATTTTGAACACAAAGCGAATCATTTGAAAATATTTTGCAATAGGTATGTCAAGGTTTTAGAGAAAATGCCTACAAACGTATTACAAAATATTTCCTATTGGATATCACATTTCCAATTATAAATTATATAAATTATTTTCTGAGTCTGTTTATATCACAAGAAAGTTAATCGCAAAAAATTTACGTCACAAAAATTAAATCATGGTCTCAGAAAATCATATTACACTTTGTCAAAACTTCAAAAGAAATATCTTGATAGAAATCTTATAATACATATAATTTTATTGAAACCAAACAAGAAAACAATCACTCGCTTTGCACTAAATAATGATTTGAAATCATCGAAATGTAGTAAATTGTTTACATTAATGAAATGTAACCTTAACTAAGAATTGACTAATATATGACAAGAACAATATTTATATTCTAGAAAAAAAGATATGAGTATTCGAGTTTGTAAAAAAGTTGGGAAGTCGGTGGTAAAGGATTATCACCCCGTTTAGTTTAGCGCGAATGGGCGCGTAGCTTACAATTTTGGTGGTAAACATATATTTACAATACATATTTCTAAGTTGTGATATATTATGTGTATTGTTGACTAAAAGCAATGGACACGAAATGCAGCCTTCTTTTTTCTTTTTATTCTTAGTGATGAGATTCATAAAACGAACCTTGTCCAAGTTTAAATAGGAAATTATGAAAAAGTTTAATTTCTTGCTTAAACTTAGTTGAAGTCAAACTTGGTTTTATAAATATCAGCCTTAGATTTCATACCGTGCTAAGCTCTGCCAATTGTAATCATTGAAGTTCGGGCTTGCCCTGTTATTGCGATTTGTTATTTTTAAATTATTTTCCGATAAGTTCCAATCTAGTGATTACTTAAGTTTTAATTTGTTGAATTACCAACAAAAAAAATCTTTTTTGTTCAAAATGGTTTTTTTTTAAGACAATTCCAACTTCATTGTTATTAATATAATCGTATATGTAAAAATTGTAAGTTGCGTTCGTAAATGTTATGCGACGATATGTAAGTAGAGTCCATTACGTGTATTATTTAAAACAGCACACAAAGGTATAATTTTTAAATTACATTTTCTTTGTCGGGCGTGCTATTATTACATTTCAAGTTCTGAATAAACACCAAGAAGTGTCAACATTTTCAAGAAAATTAAGCACTATATTTTCAGCGTTCGTTGGCTTCTGATTTTCATTATTACACATAGGTGTAACAATAATTTCGTTACATGTAATAAAATTAAGAATTGCGTTACGAGCAGACTTGTAAATCGATCAATTGATTCCCTGTCATTTGTAGTTTATTGTAATTAAGTCTATGTTTTATGAAATCGATGACAAATTTCCAAAACTATATTTTTAATTCGAGTTTACAATTTTCTAAAGACACAGCCCGAATCATGTACCTAGTACGAAGTTGCTATTTAAACATGACGAATATTGTTTCACCTCACCAAATTTAAAAGATGATAACAAATTAAAATTTACATTTTTTAATTGTTTTTCGATACAAAATGATCAACCTCATGATTAGTGGTCCTATAGTAAAAAAACATAAAAGTTGACATATATCGTCCTTTAATAATTGGTGAGTTAAATTGAAACGACCTAAAATAAATGACACTACAATGCAATAACAAGTGTAGTATGCACCAATATGGATGACCACCCATTTCAAGTGTTAGGCTCAATTTACATTGCGGCGGAACGGAATGGAACGAAAGCATCAATTTCGCCTCGTTGCGCGGGAAGGCGCGTGCAGTTGTTGGAATGCTCGAGCATTCGCGCGACTGCGCCTTGAGCCTATAGTATTTCGTCGACGTTTGACGTCACACTGCGCCTGCTTTTCGCGAAACATCCCGCGGAATCGTCGGGTGTCGCCGAAGGCAGCTGCGGTATTCTCGCGAATGCGCGAGCATTCTCGATCATGTGCGAGAATTCCGTGGAAGAGGCGCGACGTAATTTTTGGCTCTTATCTATTTTGCACGTTACACAATTGACCTTACTTGAGTTAATTAAGTTCATTACGCTACATACAATATCGTTACAAAAATTTGCTTCCATTCCGTTCCGCTGCAATATAAATGGAGCCATATTGTTCAAACCTTAGGGCGCCAAATTAGACGCTTATAGAAGCATTGCAGTGGTGCCACTGACACCACACTACTAATTTTCATAGAACATTTAAAAGCATAGTTGCAGTGCCACGGTCACGACACGCGACGGCACTTTAGCGCTTCTGTAAGTGCCTGATTTGCAGGCGCGTTTTCATTGCGCTTGTAGAACGGTATAACGTCGCTCAAACAAACGTGATTTATAGTATACTACACGTAATTGCTTTTATGCAACATTTACGATTGCTTCACATCATATATTAAGAAGCTTACACATAAACAATAACGATAGCTTTTAATGTGTCCATTAAAGAAATATACAGGTCAAATTATTGCCACACTTTGTTAATACCACCAATTTATTGTGGAGTGTGGTAAGCGCATGGACGGTCTACACGGAACGGCTAATGCGGGTAACAATGAAATGTTACTTGCATCTGAGTCGATCATCACTGGCATGGACCGTAAATGCATTATTAAGATCAATTATTACTTATATGAAGTTTTTCATCCTTATTTTAAATCTCCTCGAATTGTTGGTAAAACTATGTATAAACAGAAATGTTCATTAAATTCACATGATAAGAGATCTATAATAATGCTAAAAATAAACAAGACCTGACAATTTCTTTCTACTTTACTTGTCAGCAGGTGTTTGTAGCCATCCAGCGAGGTAATGCTGCTAGTACAATGGGAAGTTTTGAGCCAGCAACGATATGCGGCGGAATTTTCTTAGGTTAGAATTTTTTGACGAAATCTCTTATAAATACCAGTTTTTGTGTTATAGTACCCATTGACGAAGCCTAGTGCTGATATTTAGGTTGTAAATTTATGAATTTCTTTAAATACCTGTTTATTAAATAAACTTTAGGACATTTTTACTTCATTTAGCAAACATTAAATTACGTCTATTTAAAAGTATGTTTAGTACAAACACCTAGGACCTGCCTAATCCAGGTAATAATACTATGCCAGGACTATTTTTGAGTCGATATTATATCATATTGTTATATAATTGTTGTGATTCCTTCATCTGATTAATTTTGGTCAACGTACTTACAATACTGATTAGGATTTCGTGGATTTGTTCTCATATTGTACATGTTTGCATTTTAGTTCCTTTTCACTAATAACAATAATTGAAAATACACGAAGCTCATAAGTTTAATTGATCGACAATGGTATTTTAGAGGTCTAATTTCTACGAGAAAAGACATCGATCGAGAACTCCAACACAAACGCATAGGTAACAATTTCGTGAAGTTTTAACATTTATTCTCACTTCCATACAAAATTGTAGAGCCTAAAAGTTTACATTCTTTGCCATTCACACAATTTCAACCCTTATGGTAATGACTGTAGTATATTGATAACGTTAAACATTTATAAGGCTGTGTTATTATCACAAGGTATGATTTGGACTAATGTGCGAATTATTGCAACAGGACAAGTTAAGGCTGAATATGGAATTAAATTAACACACTATGTTAATTAGTACTCTTCCTTAACTTGTTGGATAATATCATAAAACACTATTCAGACAGTTGGTAGGAATAGATCGCGTCAATCATTAATCATTGTGTTCAAGGTTTTAATACATCATTTCTTCATTTTAGGATGGTACAAATTACAACGTTACTTGATTTGTGACTTTCAAGTGTGAATACGATTTGTGGTGCTAACTCTTCTATATATACTGTAAGTTGAGTATTACTAAAATATTAACCGTTTATGATGCCGTGTTGTGATCACAAGGTATGAATTGGACTAACTTACATTACGTATTTTTGTATGCGTTCAATTAGGAGTCGAAATAACTGTTTATAAGATATTTCAAACTTTAAAACTGCTAAAGAACAAATTTAAATTTTGACAATTTGTACTTCGATGCAGGTCAATGAAATTCTGGTTCAGTACTTGCTGATGTTGATCAAAAATTGTTTACCAAATTAATATAAATTGAGAGAATAACCGCAACACAACCAGCATATGTCTTTTAAAAGCAAAGCCTTTGGTGTTTTGATATTTAAATTTATGGTCAAATTATCAATGTTGTATGTAATTAATTTGCTATTTTTCTCAATCTATTATATTTATGCTTGGTTTGGACACTATAAATTGGACTCAAAAGGGGTTGGCAACCAAATCTTTTCAATGATCTACTACAATTTAAAGGTTCATTACGTTTGACACGACCTATATAAAGATGTGTGAGGCACTTGAACTATATGACAACAACAAATTCGCCTACAATATCCAACGCGTGTAAACGTAGATTAGAAAATTCACTAGTAAATTCGTGTTTGTGCACTTTAAAGCACCTTATTGTGATTTGGCTAATAGACACTAGAGGCAAATTTCTCGCGTGAAATATATCTACACGACCGATAAACGCCTTAGTTCTACATTGTTTCAAGTCATGGAAGGCGATTTTATAAAATAGCAAATAATTTTTACGCCTTTGGTTCCTTTATTCAATTCTCCATTTGATATTTATCTCAAAGTTCGTTGTCGTTAAAAAGTTGACAAGTTTGGACCTTGAAATGATGGCGTTAGCGTCGACTTTCGATATCTATACTCGTTGTTTTAGTACTTTAAAATTTCGCAACATAGCGAGGGTGCAACAGCAACTTGTCAGCCTACATAATATCACTAATTGTAAGTAAACTACGTACGTAATTAATATTTGGTAAAAATAGTACTTATTAGTAACGCTGGGTTGACAATATCGTTTAGTTTTGTAACACTGTATGTGTTGCCCCACATTAAGCTGTATCAATTACACACGGAATTATAAACGCTATGTTTGTGACGGCAGGGTCAATTTTCAAGTGTATTTAGAAAGTTTGTACAACTCAAGCAGTGGCCGTACATGTGCCAACAGAGTTGTTTTTCGGCATAGCTTACGATATATTTTTGTTCAAATAACTTTCCCGTACAACTTGTAAATTTATTATTTTGGAGATACGACTATATTGTTAACACAAATTTAAAATTATGACTTGCACTATGACAATATACTCACAAAATATGATTCAGTGTTCAATACGAAATTCCTTTACGAAGTCGAAAAATTCCCCACTTTGACGTTTTGCTTGATCCTTCGTGCCGGCTATATTATAGAGAGAGCGCGGACTGAGGCGCTAGAGTAAGTTTTGGGCGCTAGGTGGTTGTCGTGGTCACAGCGGGCGGCGGCGGGGGGAGCGGGGAGCCTCGCACCCCGCTCTGACGCCGCAATAGCTCCGAAACTGTGATAGCCACTTGAACTGTTCCCTTGCTTTCCAGCACATCTGCTGCACAACACATCATTTTCTGAAATAGGAATTAAATAAATTATTAGTTTGTAAAAAGTACCTATTAGAAATATCAGTTAGTTTCAGATAAAAGAAAATAATAACGTAGAAAAACTTCAACTTAACGTAGGAAAGAATAATCGCAAGATCTGCTGCATTGGGCTTATAAATAAAATAACAATTTGCCAATAAGAATTTATTTTTGAGAAAAAACATCGCACGTAAGTACATAGAAAAGAAATTATGAAAAATTTTCAATAGCGAATGCTTATAACTCCACAGTACCAAAATATTTGAAAAGTGTATCATTAATCCTAAAATTATAAGAAATCATCATAAAGAATTTCAAAACAAAAGAACGACATGAAATATAAAAAAATAAAATAATACTGAACTTAATACCTCTCAAGAATTAAAAAAAAACAATGACCAACAACCAATACTCTAAATTCATAGGCTCTTTTAATGCCTTACTTTGAATGGAATACTAATAAGGCTGGTTATTTATTTTTGTTAGGTGTGCCGAATGGTAAGAATGAAAAATGCAACACCTAGCAAACAGAGAGCGTTCAAAAGAAACTATTGAAAAATATCTGTTTCCCGAAAACATCCTACATAAACTATACATAAATAAGTACCCAAGCACCACAAGCTAATAAATATACGCTAAAAAGCATTTAAAGTACATATATATTAAATCTATAATACTAACATTGTACTCGCGATTTTAAAGCTCAAATTAACGTACTCGTAAACCCTCACGACAAACACAATGATCATACTGAATAGAGTGAAAAAAAAAATGGCGGATTAAAGGGAACGTGCAAGCACTTTTAGCGTCAAGTAACTGTCGAATTAGTCACGATTCTATGAAATCCGCCTACCAAGCACGACGACTATAGAAAATCTTCCAGAAGAGAACTATTTATAAGATATTTCAGATGAGATACTTGGTTTTAAATTGAACAATTTTTTAGTATCATTTAGTATTAGGCTGATTAGTGACGCCATCTATGCTCTGCTATGACGTTTAAAGTAATTATAAACTTGGACTTGGAGCAAAAATGACCAGTAGTTTTCGTACTTACCAAAAGAGCTTTGCCCAAATTTAAGCAAGAAATTAAATTTGGGTTTTTTCCGTGATTTGGCAAAAACTTAGGCAAAGTTCGTTTTGTACATACGAGAAACATGCTTAGGCAGCCATTTTTGCTTAATCGAAGTAAGTTACTATTATCTCAGTCCTAGATTGTTATATTGACATTCAGTATGGATCAAGATATTTGCCGCACCCAATATTAAGAATATAACAGTATATTAGTAAATGACCAGAAATATAGATTAGAACTGGGATTATTGATAAAACAAAATGACAGGAAGGTATGACTATTTTTTAGAAAATAGTAACAATTTAATAATAACCTGGCTTCTGGAAAAATTAAGATAACCATTAAACTGCCTAATCGATTCCAAATGTTAAGTATTATAATTGTTTACAATGAAAAGGAAGGACACAGAGGAAGTTAGTTGAAGAACATCATGGAAGTAAATCTTAAAGTAATGTAATTCTTAATAAATAACTATTTAAGAAGTCAATTCACTTATACTATAAGTAAATTGTTAGCAAATCCGTAAATATGAAATCAGTAAACTCCTCTTTGGAATGCTTATAAAATGTTCTTGGTGGCCAAAAGCACATACAACAACAATACGATTTTATTTTAAATTGTTTTTATTTTGAATTGGATGTGAGTTGAAGTTACTCCAACTGATTCTACCACTTATTTTTATGCGGAACAAGACGTAAACTAAAATCTCACCTGTTTGGGCGCTCTACTACCAATATGCACGATGCTAACTGACTAGTTCATTAACAAATATACCTTGGACTTTCAAAGTAAGAGTGAATAGACACTTTCTAGACAAGTTCGCTTCACGATCGTCCATATTGTCACTTACTATCAGGTAAGATGGCTGTTAAATATTTGCAAACAAATAACGTTCTCTACATTACTAAATGATATTGTTTTCTGTAGAATTTTAAAGCCCAAACAACCACCGTCTTACATTAGAATATAACACCGACCACGTACATTATGTTGGCCACCAAGGTTCATTTAACACTGTATTTAATTCAACATACATTTTTATAAAGTACTCTCTCATTTTAATTGGCATCAAGCGTCAATTGGTTGGCATCATATAGGAATACATGTACAATTTAAAAATGTCTTTTATAATATTTCTTTCGATCATCGTTACATGAAAAAGCCTCGATATGCAGTCTAAATGTCTCTACGCGCTACCTAAACGAGTAGTTTATTATGCATGGACAGTGAGAAGATTGGTCATATTCTTTTAACTTTTATGGGCGGATATTGTGTTTACAAAACCATCTGCCGTATCAGAGGTATTGTTAGGAATTTAAACTAAAAAATTATGTAAATTTAATTTCATTTAACGTAAAATTTTTTCCCTTTGGTACAATTGGTCTACTTTCCCGATCGGTCCACTTTCGCTATTCGTCTACTTTCTCGATCGGTCCACTTGTTTTTCCCGATTCGTCTACTTCCCATTTCGTCTACTTTTCTGTTTCGTCTACTTTCCCGTTAGGTCTACTTTCCGATTTGGTCTACTTTCCCGATAGGTCTACTTTAATGATGTGCCTACCCAAATACTCTAAGTACAAAGTACTAAAAAATCGACCTCAAAAGTTTGAAATCCGTTAAATATCCGTTTTGAAAATGTTACCGGAAAGTACGTGAAACCGGATCCACTCCCAGTTTATCGCCATTAGAGGTGGAATATTTTCTTCAAATTTAAATGGGGCCACTACTGAGGTACCCTCTTTCCAACAAAAAATAATCATTAAAATTTGTTCACAAATAACCGGAGTTATAGCGTAACATGTATTAAAAAAATAGTCAAAAAACTTCCTCTTTTTTTAAAGTCGGTTAAAAACTAACTGTCTACTTGGTTTTTTTTTTCAAATCGTGTTTAGCATGTAATGTAAAGCGGCCATATAAAAAATGTATGTACTCCATGACAATCTGCATTAACAAATTGCCTTTGAAAAATATTTTTTGGAGAAGTGGACCGATCGGGAAAGTAGACCGATTTGGAAAGTAGACCGATCGGGAAATAGACGAATCGGGAAAGTGGATCATTTGAACAAGTGGACCCATCGGGAAAGTAGACGAATAGTGAAAGTGGACCGATTGTACCGAAGGGTTTTTAATGATGTCTATCCTAGGTGTCACAAAATTATTCCTTGACTTGCGAACTATAATGTAACAAATAATATATACGGTATAGTTCTAATTGTGAGTAAAATCTGAATAGTTACCATGTGTTTATTTCAACATTTTGCTTGGCTTGTTAAAAAAATCAACATGGCATAACAAAAACGGTTTGGTCATATTTTGGGATATGAGATTGGGTCTTATTTCAATGTCATGATATGAAGTGTAGTAACATTTCAGTGTTATGGATACATATGACACTTATGACAGCTAAAAACTTTAGACAAAAATACATTTTGTAAAGCAGCGACGATAAATTTGTTCGGAAAATTTATTTTCCTCATCATTAAATATAGTGTTAAAGGATAGTTACTAAATATTCTTAGTGTATTGTTTGTTTTAATCAGCTTACACAAGTGTACTCGACATGAATATGAAATTCGTTTCCGACATTTCTATAATTAAGTATGTGCTCCATCCTCTCTTAACAAAACCTATGGAGTTTGCACGGCGCAATTATGTTTGTGACGTGACAAACGTGTGCCATATCTTCCTAAACTTCTGACTTTTGGCATTTTTTTAAGATAAGGTTTATCCATTGTCTGTTTTTTAATGTCAATTAAAATTAATTTAATTGGGAAGCTTTTACAAAATCTTTCATGTGCCAAAATATGACTTCATCTTTTTGATAAACCCTGTATAATGTGCTAACAAATTCTGTAAGGATAATTTTAGAGTCTTCAATTTTCCTGAAAATAATTTATTTAAAGTACAATTATAAAATATTTTTGTTTTTGTAAAAATAAGCTAAAAATATTTCGGCTGTCGCCAATGTACTGTAATGTGACATTAATTACTGTTTCAAAAGACTTCAAAGTGATTATAACGAGGTTAGAAATTGGCTCTAAAAGTATCCGTACCAAATTTTTTAGCACCCTGTATATAAGAACATCTTTTTGTCCATACACAACACTAACTCCGAAGCCTTATATAAAAATTACAATTTTGCATTAATAATACAATAACGATATGATTGTTCGAATAAGGCATACGATTCTTATTTAATAAGAAATATATTAACAGCTACGCTAAACGTTTATATATTAGCTCATTTGTATACTTAGTTATATAATTCACGGTATATTAAAACTGGGCTGTCAAAGATATTTTTCAGATATATATCTACGTCTACAGTGTACATATCGTGGTTGTTCACGAATTATCACAAGTTGCACATTTATTATAATGGCATGATTTATCTCTTCAAAGAGTCTATACTATTTCAAATGGCTTTGGTTGATTCCGCATAACAGTAAAAGTATTGAATCCATCACTTTGGAAAAAAATATAGTATATATTTGAGGATATACATTGAATGCTGTGCGGTGTGGAAACACGATTCCTAAAAATTTTCACGACAGAAAAAAAAACACAAACTTACCTCGAAATTTTGCAAGAAAACTGCTGCATTACAATAGGTACTTTACATATACCCATTGACTTACAATTATATGGACGTCGGGTCCGCGCTAAAAAGTGTCCGCACTTGTAAGGCGCTAAAATCGTATACAGAGCGCGACACTCCGCTTTAGTCTTCATTTGTTCTACTGACAGCGCGATACTGCGATGACATTACAATTTAAATTTCGAATAGGTTGACTTGGGACATTTTTTTCGTGGTTTTTGTATTAGACCCGTCGTCCATTTATTTGTAAGTCAATGCATAAACCAATGATTTTTATTAATATCAACTGAATTAAACGGAACGCGTATACTATACGATATACATTTTTCGAATGACTAATTCCGTTTATAAATAATAAATTCAGAAATAAAACCAGTGTCACTCGTGGAAGCGCTACAGTTGCGCTGCAGGTGTGTCATTACTGTACAATATTCACAGTAAGTGAACTAACAATCGCAGTCTACAAGCGTCTAATTAGGCGCCCTAAGAGATCGTACATCGAATGTGAAAGTTTTTTTTTAATTCACTTCCGTACATCTAAACGATTTTAATAACAACGTTAAACTTTGACTTGGCTTAAATACTTAGGATTCCATACATTGAAAAGTAAAAACAAAAAAAAAGCAAGACGATAGGCCCCAATTTTCATATACCGTGAACTTTTTTATCAATTCTTCATTGCACCGATACTTTATTGTTATTGTACTTTGAAATTTGGTTTGTTTTAAACGTCCATTTATATTAGACTATAGCATGAATGTGTCTTACTTCTTAAATATTAAGACTATAATACTATTAATAATTTATAATTATACAAAAGATATAAAATCCATATTGTTTCGTGCAAAAGACTAAAGTGTTTTAAGTATATAAATAGCTACCTAGTTTTTAGTATCAATATTGCATAGACATATTGACTTATATACTAAATTACATTAAAAAAAAACCTTAGCAACACTCTGCAATAAACAAACACTTGAGATCTCTGAAATAAAATCGATCAATCAAAAGTAAATCAATAGCAATCAAAAACACACCAATCAACTCTAGAAGCACTCATACAATTGGCAAATAAAACAACTAGAAATAATCAGTACGAATTTAAATGCTTGTAAAGGGAATGAATTTAATAAAATTGGAATTAATTAATCAGACCAATCAATACTTAGCAATCACCAATTCGCTTCAAAAACCTTGGATAATATTTGACTCGATGGTAGTGCAAAAAGATAATAAATCTTTGTACTTTGAAATTTTCAGAACACAACGTACTGAAATTTGTTTGTACCTATGGTTACAGTTTGGATCAAATTGTTTTTTGTAAAAAAAATCCTTAAACACTATCCTTCATATCTATGTTTAAATTGAAATATCTATAGCGTGATTTCCGAAATTTCATGGCAAGTTAACAATTACAATATTTTTATTGTATCTAAATACTAAGTAAATTACGCTGGTCTTGGATATATATCGTCGTCAGGGATAGAGGAAAAAAAAACCGCATATTATTATGTAGTATTGGTAAAAGACGCGCACTAAACTAAATTTTTAAATGGGAGGGATTTAATGTCATTATTTGGCTACGACTTTCATTTTTTGCACAATAAGCACTAATTTATGTTGTCTACGGACTGAAAACAGTAGCTTCCCGTAAATCACGCAAATTTAATTTGGGTACCACGACATTTACGTTATGATTTATTATTTATTGATTTAGTAATTACGTTTTGATTTGGCAACTGAATTACCGAAATGAAAACTCATAATTCAATGCTAGTTACGCATTATTGTCTCATCATAGCATTAAGACTTCCAACCATGACGTTAGAGGAATAGTCGCATGAAACGACGTAGCCATATGTACACAAAACTTCACTTGGAATAATTACAAATTTATTAGGAAGAAACATCGACATTATTGCTTGTTTTTTTTTTAATTTACGACATCGAGTTAATACTATCCAAGCCCCATATTACCGTATACAATACTTTTTGAATACCATCAATTTCCTTCAATCAGCCTTTCATTATCAAAACGACAATAGCAGCCTCAAAATTTCATTTCAGACTACACACGTAGTCAAACTACGAATAAAATAAGGCAATTCATTTTACACTGTTTATGAATTATTATAAGGGGTAAATGTATAAACTAGATTTTTTTTTAAATAATGCTGTATGTAAAAGTCAGTAAGATCAATTTTTGTTTTGTTTTTGTTTCGCTATAAAATTCTAGCAGCCTCAATGAAAATTATTCTATTTTTTCTGCAACGACTTCTACCTTTTCAATTGCCAATACCCTCATTTTATATAGCATAGTAAATTCCGTAGTTTTACAAAGGGAACAGGATAAGCAATATGGCGGACAAAAAGAACGCGCCAAGGCATAGACAAGTAACAAGCTGCCTGTTCTCTTCGCTCTTCGCAACTTCAGTCTCTACGTTCATTTCCCTGTTCAAGTTATTCTCAATCTGTAGATTCATCCTACTTCTATCATATCTTGCTAAATTCTCCACCTGTCTAACAGCAGGACAATCCAACTCATCGGTGTCATAAATTTCGAAATTGTCATTCTTCAATACACGTTCGCCTTTATAGAAAGGTGTTACAAATTGCACTCTATTCTTTTGGTAATACGGTCCCCTATTTCTCAGTTCATCGGTGCCGTAGACGGGAGAATACTGTCCGTTTTGTTCCGTATTGTTATTATCATGGACTTGGTACTCCTCGGACTCATCTATAGTGTATTGAGTGTACTGATGGAACTCGTTGAAATTGCTGACGTGCCGATCTTCGTTGTACCTGGAGCGTTTCTGATAGTAGTTAAGTTCGATGGACGTTTCGGTGACGTCACTGGAGTAATCGCTCGTATCGTAGTAGGGGTCTGCGGTATCCTTTGGTAAGTCGTGAGCTAGGAGCGCGGAGAGCGTGGTTGCGAGTCGCGTCGGAGACACATTGTCACAGTGCTGACCGCCCCACTCCGGATGGTGGCCCAGTATGTCTTCAGACGCACAGATGAACTCCTGCAACACACGCCACCCGTCTCTTAGTCTCACATTCTATTATATCGCTCGCGAAAGGATACCGAGACCCTGTAACATTGGAAAGGGACACGAACGGTAAACGGTACATCTACTCATGCGTTATTTAAAATAAATGCGTAGCGATAGATTTTAAAAACAAAATGGAAAGGTGAGAATAAATGCGATAAAAAAAGCGATAATACAAAACAACACTAATATAGTATAGTAACAGTACTCACCTCTTCTACGCCGATCTTTCGACACGCCTCCAGGAAGTTGTCCACGTTCCGTCTGCATCTCGCCATTGACAACTTGGGCTGATAAAAGCAAAATATGTGTCAAAAGAATAATAATCAAGTACTGAAATATAAATTGCATTAGTTCCTATTTTGAAATATGGAGATCTTGAGAAAGAAACAAAAATGTCATATAGTTCGATGACGATATATTATCGGGAGTCATTATACGTGCCACTGCTGGGCATGGGTGAAGACTCGTACTAAGAGAAGAGTAAAGAGAGAGTTTAGATCATAGTTCACCACGCCAGCTCAATGCGGGTTGGGAACTTTATACGTTTTCCAAGGGTTGTGACCCTTCTTCGACGAATACATTTTATGATGTTTTTTGTTACCGTTTAATATTGCTACTAAACGTTTGCAAAATAACTTAACAATAAAAAGTCATGGGTACATCCCGGTATAGGTATAACGATAGTATATCCACAAGATTTAATAATTGTAATAACGCACACACTCAACATAGCCCCGCATTAGGGAAACCCTGTGTCGCGGGTGCTATGGATACACACATACACAATCACACATTACACCCAAACTCACGAGAGAAATAAATGTAGGCCATACAAATATTTGTCCCGGCCCGGGAATCGAACCTGGGACCTGTGCGTGGCAGCCCGGCATGGTAAACGTTCAGCCACGGAGACAGTTATTTAGTAGGTAACAATTATATTTGATGCTATAGTGTGAATGAATTTACGGATTGAGTGATAAGCACTGACCTGCGCGGGCGACGGCACGTGCACAGAGGCGACGGAGCGCGGCCGCACGTGGTTGGCGAGGTGGCACAGCACTACCCCGTCCGCCAGCACGGGAGCCAGTTGCTCTGGCAGCGACATCTTCAGGCGCGTCTCGATAATCTATAATTTCAAAATATAGGTGTTACAAAGAGAATAATCAAGTCTTCTGAACAACAAAGACCTATGACAAGCCCTCCGGGATCCAATATTATGTCCACATCTTCCAAGCGTATAGTACATTTTAGTAAAACCGATACGAATTCGGAGCTGAGCCATGAACGCTGACAAGACAGACAGTGCTACAGTTACAAGGTCAGCCAGAGTGCTATGAAATGGGTTATGTTGGTTATCTTTTTTCGAAATCGATTCAGGAACACAGTGTTCCGGAAAAGAACGAATATTTTAATTCATTTAATTATTTTTAGCTAATGAATTCACACATAGTATTTAGCATTATTAGATAGTATTTACAATTTTTAATGCTCAATAGTATATTGGTTTTTTTTCTTTTAAGATTTAAGATTGGCTTTACTTAAGAGTACTTTGAGAGGTTGAGGGCCTGGTGAGCTGTAATACAGGTTTAGTTGCCTAGTATGGTCTTCAGTCTCTTTCAAGGGGTACATTTAAAATTGTTAATCTATTATAAGTCTTAATTCCTTGTGTTGAGAAAATAAACCATTATTATTATAGATGGGGAAGAAGGGTGCTTGAGTGGAGACCCAGGGTAGAGTACAGTAGCGAAAAATTAGATGAGGAAGGCATTAGATCCGAAGGAATGGAATACATTGGTAGAGACCTTCACTCGGCATTGGGTGGACAGTGTTTAAAACAGAAGTAACGCTGATATCTAACGCACAAAGGACGAGTTCATATTTTACCATGGTTACGGTAACCAATCCTAAACTCGAATTTTTTTCCGAAATAACGTTTGTTCGAATTTTCCTTACACCGAAAACCGAATTATAACGAAACCGTCGTACTTTCAGGATATGTTGGATGTTTATCGCAAAGACACGATTAGGTTCGGTTAGGTTAGGTTTATAGATTTTAAAAGCCGTCATATAAAAAAAAAAGGTTTAAAAGAAAAAACATTTTCCTCTCAAAGTTACTTTCAAGGTTATGAAAATTCGACTAAAGGTTATTTTTTGGAAAATGCCATTTCAGACCCACCATTATTTTATCATAGGAAACATTGAAATGAAAAGATATTACTGCATTTAATACCATGGCTACACAACCGGGTTCAGAACATACAGAGAACGCGTACTTGCTTTCACGAGGCCTTACTACTCACCGTTCGCAGCTGTTGCAGCAATTCGGTCTCTTCCTTCTGTTTATCAAATTCTCTCTTCATAGTGAAGCTGAGTTTGTCCGGCGCGACGTCCTTGTTCCACGCCATCTTGCCTGGCGGCTTGGGAGCAGGACCTTTCACATACGAGACCGTAGTCAGCAACTTAGCGCTATCACCATTCTGCCTAGGCTCCGCCCTCGTACCTATACTATTGTATCCTAGAGTATTCGTCGGAGATTTAGTAGGCGATGTAGGCTTTATATAAGAATCTGACCCGTTTAAACGGTTATAGTCGACATTCCCGTTAACTGTGTACATTTTGTTGACATTCCTTGATGGCACGACTTTTTGTACTGGTCGCTTGTTTTCTTCTGATTTTTCTGTATTCCCATTCTGTTGGAATCTGCGAGGTGTAGAGTGGAGTAAAGGGGAATTTGGCACTGGAGGTGAGGAGGTAGAATTGGAAGTAATTTTGTGGTAGAGATTTGGGGATACGTTACTGTAGCCGTTGATAGGTGAGTGTGAGGTGTGGTGGACTGGGCTTTGGTTCTGGGAGTGGGGGGAGTCGAGGTCGGGGGACGCCTGGTCGGAGCGGGGCCGGTATATATCTTGCTGCCGCTGCTGTCTTAAGGCTTCTTTGTATTGTCTGCAAAATTGCCAACGGAAAAATTAGTTCCTTGGCTTGATTAAAGGTCAAGCTGCATTATTATACGCTTCAGTACCCATTTTTAAACTCATGCTGTTCGGACTGATTCTTAGGTGATAAGAATGTCCTTATTTCCTTATTGTCCTTATTTATATTATATTATACTATTATACTTAAGCTATTATATTTTAATTGTAATTTAATTGTAATTTTATGTGCAATAAAGAATATTTCATTCATTCATTATTTCATATCGCCTAGGGATCAGTTGAACATGAAGATTATTTTTTCTTTAATATTCTGAGGCAATGAAGCATACTGATGAAAATAGCTTAAATCTAAAAGGTAATAACAATAACACTCAGGTTATTTAATTTCAAACGAGCATAATTAGTTAAAACTGAAGTGGAAGGTGGAGTTAAACTTGTTAAAAATATAGTTTGTCTTTTTTCAAGATGGAGTAAAATGATAGTTCATTCTGCAAGTGTTGCAAAATGAACCATCGCAAGGAGCTAGTGATAGCAGTTGATAAATATTACTCGTATATCGACTATAGAGAGAATGTTGGTTACGCTTATGAAATAAATAGCCGCTCTTGTTTTAATTGAATCATTATACGCCTATTATTCGTTCAACTGCTGGGCACATGTTCATTTGAATTGTTAATTTTTGGTAATTCATACATACATACATACACTAAATTTTAAGGTATGTCTTATAAAAATACAAATAGGAGACATATTTTAAAGTTTTTCATATTAATTTATTATACATAATCAAATTTGCTTGACATTATTAAAATGTTTATGACTAATCCATTTCGGTTGTAATAGACCACCTGTCAAAATAAGAATAAAGAATACAATAACGCAATTAGTAATCATTGGAACGTCATTGACAAAATTTTACCTACTTTCACAATTTATCGATAAAGCTGTCGACAACAACTACATGACTATTTAAAATTTTACGAACACTGGCAACCCTGCAAATTTCATTTTACTCCATATTCAAAAAAGACAGAAGATAGTTAGATTAACCTTCGTGTTAAATAAAAAAACATTTATAAAAGCTAAATAAAACGGTGCTATATGACCGTGAGTGTTGTGCAAATGAGATGTACCTGTAGGTTTGTTGATGTAACAATTTAGTCTTATCGTCGCCATTGGATATGTTCCCTTCGGGTGAAATACGGAGGCTGAAAGGGACAACACGAGGGCAATTTAGTGAAAATAAAGAGGAAGTGAGACAGAGGATTGTGATGATGATATGACGAAACGGGCTTTCTAATTTACCTCTGGTTCGGCCAATGCGAAAGAAATAAAACAAAATTAATATCAACTACAAGTTAAAAGTTTCACATAAATATAAATCTACTTATTTACCAGTTGAGTTTATAAAACGAACTTTGACTTCGATTAAACAAAAATAGCGTGCTAATCAAGTTTTTCAAGAAAAGCTTTTTCGCCCCGATGGGAGTTGACCCCACGACCATTGTGCACCGTAATATTGCTCTTACCAACTGAGCTACGGGTCCAGTTATCGTGTTGTCGAAATTCTCCTATGTGTTTATGGTAAAGATCTTTGTACGGGATCGTCCCATCGTGTCGAAAAGGTTTTTTTAATAAATTTCAATAATACAAGACGTTGTCCAAGTTTAAGCAAGAAATTACGAATTAAACTCAAAGTTTAGTTCAATGTCATGTTTACGCAAAATTTGTTTTATAAATACGAAAAACTTACTTAGCTCGCCGCTTTTGTTAAGTAGAAGTCAAAGTTTGTTTTATAAATCTCAGCCTAAAGACTACACGAAATTGTACTTAACAAATATTTAAATGTTGTTAATTTCAATTAAAAGTTTAGACATGTATTTTCTTTTTTATGATCATGTCGTTTACAATTCCTTATTCTTAATATAGAACAAATTTGTCTCCTTTTTTTTTGAAAATTGTTTGTTTTGAAAATTGATGTTATCTATCCAAGCCGTGTATCGTGAAATTCTGCTTTACTCGAACAATTATAAATATTAATTTTGTAATAATATGACTCCTCTATCACTAAAAAACTCACCTAGAAAGCAGTGGCGTTAACGGCGGCGCCAAAGGAGACTCACTGGACAGCGACTGGGCCCGAGACAGGGCCGCGCCCGGTGACAAAGTAGACGGCGTACTGGGCGTTGAACGCCCAGATCCGCCACCGATGATGTCGCCCCCTCCTGAAAATAATTTTGACCATCTAAATATAACGCTGTTAATACAAATAGTGTACATATTAACTCAAAAAGTGTATTTTTTTCAGAATAGTCGATAAACGAATTACTCACTTCTCGTGAAAGATTTGAGTATACGTTAAAGTTTTTTACAGCCATCTAAATAATTTTCTACTTGTCAAATATATACTATATAAATAATTTTATATTTTTGAGTAAGGTTTCTTTGTTTGGACAAAACTAGCTAACAAATAGTTTGAGTTAAATATATATTTTTTAATGGTTCCTCACAATATTCTAACGCCACATTTGTATTGACGTGTAGAGAATAAAATTTTCCGTTCAGCAATAGTATAATCTTGAATTTCACATATTTTGAGTTACAACACTATTGTAATAGCAGTGTGATATGATGTTATATGTTATAAACGGCTTGAACATCTCGAAAAGATGCCAGCTCACGGCATGCATGGTGTGGCATAGCATGAATTTAATTAATTTAATAATTTGACTACGAACGATTACCATGCCGGACTGCCACGCAGAGGTCCCAGGTTCGATTCCCGGGCTGGGAGAAATATTTATATGGTCTACATTTATTTCTCTCATGAGTTTGGGTGTAAATTGTGTGTCCATGGCACCCGCGACACAGGGTTTACCTAGTGCGGGGCTATGTTGAGTGTGTACGTTATTATTATTTTATTATTTTTATTATAATTAAGCATCTGTAAGTTTTCCACGCAAAAATTCACCATATTATCGATTGACCGGGTAGCAGTAGGTGACAGAGAGACGGTATTGCCCTAAAATCGTCCCCATCACACACCACATAAATACTAGTACTGTACTGTAGTACTGGTTAGTAGTAACCAGTACTACTAACCAGTACTACAGTAACCAGTACTAACCATAGTGGACGGGGTCCGCGTTACCTAGCTTATCACCAGACGGGCATATGAGTGTCAACAGCGCGTCAGTCGTCGTTCAAATGTGATAGTTGATTATTTTGTGGAAAAAATATAAATTGTGCCATTATATCATGTCGCGTAAGAAACCAAAGTTATAAAAAATACTCCGGGAGTGATTTCATTTCATCGGTAAGTACTAAAACTCTGTATTTTCTAATATTTTGAATAATACAATATTATAATTTCGAAACAAAACTATTTTCTTGCATCTCGGTAATAACAATATACATTGGTTGCTTGCTAGCCATCGCCGCCGTCAAAAGAGCAATTCGAATGACGCTCAATGAATTGCTTGCACTAGTGTCGTATTACACTTGGTACTGGGTCCGCGTGTTGTAATCAAATTATCGATATGTAGAAACTCTGTATTTAGAAACCCGGTTTTGGTTTAGTTCAACATTTTTTTTATTATAGCGGTAGGTACCAATGTTTACAGGTTTTTAAAAGCTAACAATTTTGATTACTGAAATGTTTGGTCCCAACACTCGCAATAGTTTTTTTAAATTTTAAATTTAAGTAGAAACGATATATTAATGGAAAAAAAAAGGATATATAGATAGAAGAGGTACAGGTCGATAATTTTACAATGCACGTAAGTTCGTGGAGTATCAAATGAAGACTTTATAAGATTGGAGATTTTCTTTCCCTTATCTACATTGATTCCTATCTCCCTACTTGCTTAATATACGTCACCTTCGTCCACTTGAGTTCTTAGTTTTATCACAGGCATGATTTACATTTGCAGTTTTTGTATTGATTTTTTTTTAATTTCCCGCCGGATCCTTTTTAAAGGAGAAATGGGCTGAAGCAACAGGCAGCAAAAGCTGGGTACCTACTAGATGTAGCACCATTTGCTACAGGTATTTCGTGACATCACATTAAGTTATATACATATGAATAACAACCGAAAAATTCATTAAGAAATAAATTATACGGTTAATCAGGTAATATATGACATGAAACTCAGAGTCGCATTCACAAATTATAGACCACATCTAAATGTGAAAACATTACTGGAGCATTGTCAGTCAGTGTCAGTTATTTTTCGTCAAATTTTCATGAAACAAATATTCGCTTCTTCGCCTTCGGAAATAAGTATCTTCATTTTCTTGACAAGCTCGTCGACGCTATAGGTCATGTTCAGTCAGTCCAGAAAGAGGTAATTGTGGAACATATATATCATATTTTTGGGAGAATAAAGATTTTAATGATGACTGTGTTTTAATATTTCACCTCTTCCAGTGATCAGATTGACTTGAAATCTAGGAGGTTAATAATGACAGTACGACGACAGTATAATAAATCATTAATACTGTGATTGTAGCACGCCTGCGTATCTAATATCAATTAAAGTAAAACCTTATGCGCATTTGGTAACAAAAGTGTGCGTGTAAAATCAGCTACGCTAGTTCTCGAAGAAATTGTTTTAAATGCCATATCCATATACTCCGTGGTGAACTCTAATTATAGCAAGTATAAAGCAATGCCTGGTTCAATATTCCGCTAGTTATGAAACTTAATGTCGATATCAATTAAATGTCACATCCCTATCTGTAGATTGTCAACTTTTCGCTTTTGTTCCAAGAAGTTTATGTCCATAGGATTCTTATATTTTATGTGACTATATATATTTTATAATACAACCTTATTAGATCCAAATAAGTTTAAAATTTTTTTAATAAAAGTTTTTTATTATTGTCTATTTTCGTTTGATAATTTATAACCAATCAAAATTATGTATCTTAGTACTAATGCAAGATTACGTGTTCAAATGTGCGCGTGTGGCGACGCCGGTTTTGATACAAATGTTGCTTAATGCCATTTCCATTCTTTTCTTCTTTCCGTGGTTCCCATTAATCCACGGCCCGCTGAGATTGTAGACCTAGTAATTTGTCTGTAATCATGACAACTTGCAAGTACATACGCCCGATAATGAAAATCAGCTATTCTCAGCCTTCCATTACGATAAAAATATTGGTAATTAACAAAAATCTCCAATTTTTGTTAATTACCACCAAAGTGACGCATTTCTTTAAATAATTGAGGGTTGTCCGCAGAAATCTAAGTAAATTATTTTGATTTCTGTGGGGTTGCCTCAAATTTTTGTAGGCAGGCGGAGCGACGCTGCGATGCATTAAAACAAGCAATGCGACATAAACTTTACCTTCTACAAGATTGCTTTTCAAAAAATGAAAATGAATATGCAGCAAGCGGTACTTTATAAAATGCACTGCACTATAGAACATTACATTATGCTCTACTAAATAAATTACATATTTCCTGACGCAAAATAATAAAACAGCAAAGCAGCACGGCAATGCAAAGTACAACTTACTTTCTCAACAATACGGCACATTTCTTTGAAAGGCAGGCAGCTTGCTGAACGCTTTTGTTATTTTGCATTAATAAAAATATTCACTTTATTAGTACAAATGGAAGTTCTATTGCATTGAGTGTTGAAAACTAGAGGCAGTAATAAATGTGTACTGACCATCATTGGACCACCTCTTCTCCACGCCATCAGTGCAATATCCGCTATCCACAACATGCCTAGGTTTATGCCTTAAGCAGTCTATAGTCGCGTTTCCCGACACGATATCACGGGCAGCACTTTGCTGAGGAGAATTGTTGAAGGAACTATGTTTTGCAGATCGTCGCGTTTCATCCACTCTTCTGTGAGGTAACGTGTCTTTATTTGCCATGGTTTCCAGGTACTTGAATATATGTACACGACCGCGCATGCAAACCTGAAATTTTTTAAATTTCGCTGTGGTCAACAGATACGCTGTGGAACAGATGCGGTGACGATTTGTGAATCTACGAATTACCGCTCTTAAAAAACGCACCTTTAGAATGAAAGTGACCCAACACAAAATTCCAACTTATCGAGATTACGCAAAATAAAGTAGGAAATTGTGACACTTTCATATAATTTATAATTCTTGAAGTACTAAAGGTAAATAGGTACATAGGTAAGTAGCCTCGTTAGTTCTGGAAAATAATGATTAATTAATTTGAAAACGTAATTTACAAAAATTCGTTGCCATAAGGTAATTTTTTTGTTGTCATTTAACCTAACAAGCATTAAGTCTCTTTCATTTTCACCAACAAAGCAGGCTGTTATGATCAAGATGCTTTAATTGTAAAAGAAATTCGTCTAAGCAAAAAAAGTGAGTTGCGTTAGTAAAACAAATTATGAACGGAACGAAAACGGTTATATTTGCTAATCTATCACATTTTCGTCAACAGTGGTTGCGTGTTGTTTTTGCAAAAGCAGATTCAACTCTAAATGCACTGGTTACGTACCGATACGGGAGTAGAATTTAAAAAATATGAAAGAGATATAGTAAATATGTGCCATTCGAGCTTTAAAGGGTCAGTTCAAAAATAACAACATAATGAATAATGACTATTTAAAGTCGTTTTACGTTTTATAAACGAATTTTTGGTGATTTTTTTATTAGGTCACTTTTATTCTAAAGGTGCGAAAATTGTGCAACAGGATTAAAATACTTACCGTGGTAGGAGGTGAAACAAGAGGATTGTTGTCCAGATTCAGAGAGACAAGTGTGGTCATGTTGCGCAGTTCCAGGGGCAGCGACGAAATGCAGTTGCAGCTCACATCCAGGTACTCTAGTCGTAGGTACGTGATTTCTGAAATTGCAGAATATTTTTCATTACAACATGCTCTATACGGGCAATGCTTTTTGTAACTGATTTTAGTTTTTATTATAATACCAAGTGACGGGACGAACAAGTCGTGTGCCTGGTGGTAAGCGACACAACCGCAGGTCCATAGCAGTTGCAATGCCACTCAGAGCTTTAAATTGCAAAGATTTAAGGGGCACTGCCACCGCGCCCGGCACCCTGAGACAAAAGTTAACAAATCCCATGTGCCTGTAATTTCACCACCCTACCACTAAAAATCCAGGTAGGTTTACATCCCACAATTCCCATTGTCGTTCCGTCGGTCGTTTGTTCAGATATCCGCGATCCATCCGAGCACTAAACTGTCTACCGTCCACTTGGGCCCCAAACAAAATTCTGAAATGTGCGTGTACTGCGCTCTATTTGTCTACTCAAACCATACTCAAACACAATGTCACCACCACATGTCTGTGGTCACCACACACACAAATTCATAAACAAATTATCTGTCGTAATGTTTATTTGATTTTCACCAGCACTTTGTTGTCAATTTAGAAACAATTTAATAATTTGTATTGTGAGGCGTGGTGATGACCGGAGTATAGCGACAACCGGATGGTTACCAAAAAGTGGTTATAGGAAGGCGGGACGTCCAAGAGCAAGATGGGTACAGGACATCATCAACTCGCAGGCTGAAGATGTGTGAGAGTAGCGCAAGACCGTGGCATAAACTACGGGAGGCATATACCACGTACTGGAGAAGACGTGCCGTGCGGTGGATGATGATGATAGATAAAAGTGCAGGCACACGAGCTGTATTCGAACTAGACTACATAGAATTGAGGCTGCGGTGAGGTTGAGATTTCTTTCCTGTGTCGTCATTTCTACAAACTTGTTTCTCCACTTTACAACAGAATTAATAAGGAATTCAATGTAAATTCAAACTCTATGAGTGTCTTTGTAATCGAACATACGATGATGTTGAAAAGTTAGTTACACCGACACACAAACTCACATACTTAAATACAACGGGCTCGTGCCCTTACACACACAACAACACATAATCACGCATAACAGTTATCTCTTCTTATACACTTTTTATTTTTATTTCTTTTGTTAAGTTTATTTTTGTTAGCATTATTAAAGTAAGATTTGGGACATCTCATTCCTGTTATTCAGCGTCGCGTCGGGCATTTATAGTTTCGAAACAGTCAATCTTGTATTTGTTTCAAATGTTTTTTTTTTTTTCAATTTAAACAAAAGAAACCTGTAACTAGTAGGTGCAAAAAATGTTCAAACGTCTGGGTTTTCTTCTTAAATCTGAAAGTAGTATGATCAACTGTAGAATTTTATAATAAATTACTTTGAGCTAAATAATGGTTGTACGAAAATTTACTGTAGTGTAAGAAGCTTAAACATATTCCGTATTTGCGTTACCGCAAATGAAACCTGAGGATGGCCATATCATATGAATATTTTCGTAAATAACACTAACATTTAATCCTTCACGCATCCTACTGACGTACGTGTATCCATAACGATTATCAGTTTTTAATTTTTATATATATATTTTTATAGATTTTTTTTAAAATGGTGGATAAAAACAGCACACTGTGTGGCTTTAGGACGCTACGGTATCAAAATCGTGTGTCTCTACGTGAACGCGTGGCTGCAAAACATGAGTTTCCAAATGCATTTGGACGAAAACGAACCGTACATCATCTTGATTAAATATTTGATTCGTCTATAACTAAAATAACAAACCCTCTACTTACGTAAAGGTAGTAATCCCAGCTGATTATTGCTTAGATCCAGCGCTCGAAGTCCCGCACAGTCCCCCAACGTCATAGGGACCTGTGTCAATCTGTTATTTGACGCATCCAGCTCTGCCAGTGCCGACATTCTGCCGACCTCCTTCGGCAGACTTGTCAGCATGTTGTCCGACAGAAGAAGTACTTGCAACGGCATTTGACATATTTCTCGAGGAAGCTCTGTCAGCTGGTTCGAACTGTTGACAAACAGAAATATTGGTTTTTATGGTGATATTTCTTGATGTAGCGAAAGTCGTGGGAACTTACAAAACAATGATCTTATTGATAACATTCACACGTAACAATATTTATGAAGTCAATGACCCGAGACGTAAACAATTCTATCGAATTGAAGTTTATTTTCGACCGAAACCTACTTTAGCGTGATATTATAGTAATTAGATCGAGAGAAAAGTAAATCGCTCCTCGCTTAACCTAATACCGTTAATACAGTTGGTCCGGGCTAAAACAGTTTTTGTAAATATCGCTTTTAAAGTGGTATGCGCTTCCTGACTTTAAACGCAGTCGAACGATGTATACTTTCACATTTCATGTATTTGAATGCTAGAGGAACTAGAGCGGTGATAATTGCATAGGTTACGGTTATAGGTGTGCATTTTGTTAACTAGTTAACCTTACTGTAGGAAATGATGATTCAATCGTGTGACCAAGATTGAATAATACAACTGACGAAATTGTTGCGCCACCAAATCCTAACAGGTTTGTCGAGATTTTAAAACGATTTGAGCGAACTCTATGGAATCCCTATTACTTTTTAGATTAACTTCACATTTATATTTTAAAATAAAGAACGATAAGAATACAGCTCGTGCGTTTAAGTCGCATCATTATAATCGAACGGGAAGAAAAGAAGACATTTCAGAATACTGCAGAAAAAAAGGCAGGCGCAGGTGTTTTTCAATGGTCTGGCTTTTTTTCAAAGGCTGCAGCTTCGTCTAGACTAGCACGCATTGGAACTGGATTCAATTCCACCCGAGACGGAGAATTAATAATAGATACGAGTTCAACGAACGGTGCATCGAGAAAAACCTCAAGACGTGTGGATGACTTGCAGTCGCTGAGATATAAATGATAAAGCATATGTGTAGGTGAAGATTAGTTAATATCATCTAAATCAAATTATTTGACGCGTTAACATACTACTGCTATATTTAGTAACAAATCAGGAAGCAATATAATTAATAAGTTATATGGTCGCTGTGACAACGACCTCCTTCAAAAATACACTAACCTATTAAATTAGAAAAACTATTGAGCGTTAAAAAAATTAAAGCTTCAGTTGGAATTCGTAACTTAACATTATCGTCTTTCATCCGTAACTTAAGATACACACGTTATTTCGACGTATTGAAAGCTTATAGCTTAGTATATGTCGAAGATCGACATATGTTATTGTGTTATTGAACTGTTTGTACGTACTCGATCCGTACGAGGAAAGTCTGCCATTGATGTACTGATTCAATACCACATGTATCAAGTGCTTACTCAAGCTTCAAGTTTCCTTTTGAAGACGTAAGTTAAACCAGTCACATACAACTGACACATGTGTTACATAGCGGGACACATCGTATTTCTCAATACCATTTGTTAAAGTAAGATGATAATGTATGCGTGGAGGGAACAATGTGGTACCAACTGCATTTGCTGGTATTATGATAAAGCCCTAACAGCTATCGGTAAAACCACTTTCAATGTTCGATGTTCTAATTTGTACTGCTTAGGTTGGTATACGTAAATATAAAGCTTTTTAAAAATCAAACGATGCGCAATATTTAGACTATCATCATCAGTTAGATCAACCTCGTCTTCTTAAGTTAGGCTCTTGTCGGTGATATAATCGCCAAACATCTCTGTTAAGTGCTGAACTTTGATGTCCTGGTACGACGTTTACTTTTCCCTGATTTGATTGCAATTGCTAATTATAATAATCAAGCATGGTAATCGGGTTGCAACGTACGACGGCCTTTTAGTTCCGGCGTAAACTTGAAAGGTGAATTTTATCTAAATAACTTCGTCTTGGTCTTCTACTTGCCTCTCTTTCCTTCAATTTTATCTCCTATGTATAACGCTTTTAATAAAACTGTCTTATCGTATCAGATGCTCAAACATCTTTCCCCTACGGTTCTCTAATGTATTTAATAGCTTTTCTTTTTCTGCAGTATTCATAACACTTCCTTAATAGTTTTTCTTTTTTTGCAACTGATTTCCTCCCTCCATTCTTCTCCAGCATCATATGTCAAATGAATGTTTTTGTGTCATTATCCTCGTCTCACTACCATACAATGCAATGCTCCAAATGGATACCTACATTAGTCGCTTTCTGATTCCTTTTGAAATTTTTGCTTTAATAATTTATTTTCATTGGTAAAAGCCTTTTTAATCATTGCGATACTTGAAACTATATTTCAGGTACACCTGCAGTAATTAGTTATCACTATCAGACTGCCTAAGTATTCTAAAGTTATTTCGACCAACATCACATGTTTAGAGCTTTTTCCTCCAAAAATGAAAAAATTGATATACGAGTTCAAACGTAAAAATACGAGTTGTGTGAATTAAATATGTGAATGCCCAACCAAGGAACGTGCTAATTATACACGTATATACGTTTAAAATTTCATCCAGTTTGTTAAACACTGTAAACAAACTATGATTTGCTTTAATGGAATGTTATTGTAAAGAAACCCCAATTTCGTATTCGCTAGATCAATCATTTATTTCTTCTCGAAACTAGATTGTTTACTGTAGGATTTTGCGGATTCTATTGCGGATATTTTGAATAAATATACAATTCTAACTTTATTGTTTTAGTATCATATTATAAATATCGTTGTAATTTAATGGAAAACAATTTCGCAAAATTCGAAGTCTTAATGAAGGTTACAGTGTTTACGACCCAATCCAAGTCTTAGAACAGACTGGCCTACTTGAAGCCTTTATTACCTTGTTGTTACGGCGAGACTTGAGGCTAAACACGCCTATGTTAGAATTAGTTGAGGCAATGATAACATTTACACATGAGGCCCGTTTATTGCCTCGAGAGTCGTCCCCTAAAACCCGACAGTGCATCATTAAAAGGTAAGCCCGAGGTCGGATGTTACCTTGATGAGTAAATTATTCAATGAGCAGTGAACAAAACTTAGAACATTAAGCCAAATTTTGAAATGCAGCTAGGGAAAATGAATTAATTATAAACTAAGCTAATTAACCTTTTATGAAATTTCAAGCAATTTTTGTCTCGGATTTGTACGTTCTTCACGGTATAAGATATTAATAAAATAGAGTATTTTGAGTTATATGCAAAATCGAAATTGAATCAGTGTATGAAAAAAAACTTTCATATTGTACCTTTAATGCAAGACGTTCAACAAGCTGGCAACTTTGGTCACATAAAACCTTAAAAGAAAAATTCTAAGTATCTACGTCCACGTAGAGCCAAAAACAATTTTCCTGCAGCTTGTTGAGTCGTATATCTCTCGAAGTACGTCGTTCAGCTGTTTTTGGCGTAACATCGAAACTTACCATTTGTTCCACGAGCGTTAGCGCTCCCCTCGTAATGCTCTTGCAAATTATTCACACGTTCCGCTCGGGTGATTCAAGGTCGATATCTTATCGATTCTCTTCCTACTGGGGTGCGAGGGAACTGTCACGCGTACCTCATACATTGTGGGGAAGCGGTTCGGAAGGGGCCCTACTCTCCAAGCGCGAAATCCGTGGTTACGGCGGTTTTCCCACTGTGGATTACTTACAGACTTGAGTTTCAATCGGGGCTAACTATCGAACTATATTAATGACAACGCGATTTGACAGTTTCTCACAGGCCCGTTTGACAGTTTCGAAATGATCCATCTTTTCGTTGACGGATTTCGGGAGTTCTCCCGTAGGTTATCCGTAGCGGAAAATAGCCGAACTACGGATTTCATGCTTTCAAAATAATGACCACCATAGGAGAGGAGCTATGCGCATTGCGGAGGCATAAAACCCGTGACATATGAAGTTCTCTGTTTCTCTTCAAAATTAAGACATGAATGAGACACCAAGAATACAAATGTACTTTACACAAGCCTACTGGTTCAGTCATGGTGAAGGTCGACATGGCTTGGTCGTGATAAATTAATGGTCAATGAATCACTAAGGCTCAACAAGGCTATTTAGCAAACAAGTCTAGCTAATAACGATAACATGGAGTGACTTCATAGGTCTTAATTTTGGATTTGTATATTACTTTTCGGGTTTACAAATTACAAATGCAATATTTTTTTCAATGAACATATACCTATTTACAATCGCGTAATTGTCCAAAATTAGAGGCCTTTCGATACAGATAGCTTTGCGAATATCTGTCAACCCGGCAGTGAAGAATTCCCCTTGGACTGACAACGTGGGATAGTAAGGGACAGTGATGGTGTGTGGTGCTGGTCAAAGACGATAACACATTTTTTTTGTGACACTACGTGACAGGACGAACAAGTCGTGCGCCTAGGTTGAGCGAGAGTCCTGTCCATAGCAGTTGCAGTGCCACTCAGAACTTTAAAGATCTGAGGGACACTGTCACCCTGAGACAAAAGTTCACAAGTTCCATGCGCCTGTAATTTTACCACCATTCTTACCCTTCAAAACCGGAACGTAATAATGCTCACATTAATGCTTGGCGGCGGAAATAGGTAAGGTGGCAGTATTTCCCTAGACGAACTTTTTCACACGGTGCTCTACTGCTACTATAATTACATGTGGCAGGGAGGTACTAACAATTAGTGTTACATTCCCTTGTGGTCTTGTGATGGTAGTTTTAAGAACTCAATTAAGGGTCGTGCCTGTAACCAAAGTTGTTGTCGCTGCAACAGAGAATTATTGGTAACGGATACCTGAGGGGTTAGAAACGTTAAGGTAATATAACGGCGTATTTTTCCGTAAGGTATCACGACGCCCCCATTTCATTAAACATGTATTATGTTTTCTCGTGAGTTCCGTTTCCTCATACAGTTCGCAAACGGCTGCCGCTTGAACTGTATTAATAAAAAAAAGGTAAGTGTCCTTTCGTTAAAGTTAAAATATAATTTATACTTTAGACTATTTTTCCATCCTCTAGGATTTATACGTATGGATGAAGGTGTTTATTTTGTCTTAGAGTTGATTTAGCTAGTTTCATGGAGGTGTTTTGCCAATTTCACAAGCG